CCCTGGGGCGCACTGACAGAGGCGAGGCTGCCGAACACTGGCGCCACCGGGTCCTCTGACCACCACCAGTAGGCAACGGGTGAAGTGTCTTGCCCAAGGACACAACGACCGAGACTGTCCAAGCCGCGGCTCGAACCGGCAACGCCCAACTCTTGAGCCACAATCAACGTAGGAATGATGTATGTAGGAAGGGAGAGCAAATAAGATTTTCATGGTGAAAGATTGAAATTTGCTGTGGCGCCATGTCCACACCCTATGACAAAAACTCAGCGGTGTAGTTGACACTGACCAAATATGAAGGTAATCTGATCAAATCCCTAGGAGGAGTTCGCACAAGTTTAGGGCCTGAAAATGGCAAAATTAGCACCAAAATGTCACTTTCAATTCAAAATGGTGGACTTCCTGTTGGGTTTGCGTCAATCGGTCTACTGACTTTTGTTTGTCTTGCCATGTTACACATGTTTACCAAATTTAATCCATGTGACTCAAACTATGTGTTTGTAGGACTTCATTTAACAATGCATAGGTGGTGTTCTAGAGCAATTTTGCACCGCCCATATGTGAACCCATTAAAATATGTAATTTTTCACCAGACCTGATACGTGTACAAAATTTAATGAGTTCAACATGTTAAAGGCCATTAATTTCACTGAAAAATAATAAACGGAACGATTCCAATAGGGCCTTCGCACTTCTGTGCTTGGGCCCTAATTCATTTTGAACTAAGGGTTTACTAGATCTGTTGAATAATATCAATTTGACCTGTTAAATATTCTGTTTTGTTTAAATGAATATAGTAACATTATTACAATAAATAAATCACAGAAATCAGTTGATTCTGATCATTGTGAGGACCTTTCAGCAGATGAACTTTATTAATTTTAGTGATTTGCCGTGCAGTCCATTCTTCTCCGTTTAAGAGACGCTGGTATTGGATCTTAATGATTTGATAATAAAACCAACAGCTTAATTATACTGCATGATATCACTGTATTTGGAAACCATTAAGACAAATTGCAGGTAAACTGACTATATACAAGAAAGCAGTACTTTTCATTTCATTTTCATTTCTGCTGAAATGAATGAAGCTATGATTGAAGGTATTTTACTAATGCACAAAGATTAATACAATTGTCTCACTAACATGCTTGAGTCCCAGGAAGAGATGAAATCACGCTCAGCACAATGGAACATATTACATAATACCAAAGACACAGGAATGTGCAGTATGCAGCAGGCGTGGCTGAGACTCTCCTGTCATCACACACCTGCTGCAGCTCTAACAGGTCTCCTAAAAGGTGAGTAAGCTAAAATATCTCTTGCTTGTTTTTGAAAGACAGAAAAACAATTAAATTTTCTCTTTATTTAAAATTTGTGAGTTAAGAACCTAACAATTCAAGCTGTAATAAATCATAAATCTATTTGGTGATTCGATAATTTAATGTCCAGATGTGACAAAGCGATCAAAAGGGGTTATAATAAAAATAAAATGACAATGCTATCTAGGGGAATTGCATTCCCAGGAAATACAAAATCTTAAAAACCAGAAAAGATTGTAGAGATTCAAGGATGCTCCAATATTTGTATGAAATTTCACTTTGTGGGACTAATAAAGGTATATCAAAATCAAATGTCTTTGTGTTGATCAAAATAAAACAAAGAATAAAACAATAAAGCTAACCGTGGCACAACCTATTCTTTACCAGTGTCTTGGATTACATAAAATTGTACATTGGACCGGAGTTAAGCTGGCATGCACTGTGTCATTTTTTTGTGTGATTCAGCTCCTGCTCAAACTGTACAATTGAATTGCAGAGGTTAGAAGTTTGTAGGTCATGATGCAGGTACTCACACCATACGATCCAATACTCTGATGCGACCTGAATGCTCACACTGTGCATCCATAACATGAAGTAGTAATATTAAGTGTTAAAAGAGCGACCCACCACTGAAGGTCCGACGGCTACTGGTGTGTCTTCAGTTTGCTGTTTTAAAAACAAAATCCGTCTCTCAAGTTAAAAACATGTTAAAAGTCAATGAAAATCTCTACAAGGACACCAAGCACCAAGCTCGCGGCACACAGTCTTGAGAAAGTGTACATTTTAACAAAACAAGAAACCACAAACGTGCATGCACACATACACTTAAAACAAAATACACAGACTGCTGAACTTGCACCATGCGAGTAAACAGTGGCCAGTACTGGTTATGGTTGTTAAAATATTGATCGTGGGCCCTCAGAAGAAGAGGAATATCCTGCACAGCTCCCCATGGAAACTGGAGCAAGCCAGCTGGATAGGTACAGGTATTGCAACCAACCAGCACTCGCTGCCTACGTTAAGGGCATTGTGCCCTAAATGTTGGTAGCGAAAAAGCACCCCAGCAGGTAAGCTGTGCACCTGACTTGACCATATCAAGCATATCCACTCTCACTGACATCAGACTGAGCCATGTGAAAAAAAGCACAATGAAGAATGAGGTTTTGATTCAAAGGGTTTACCTGTACATTAGCTGAGCTGTTAAAATGTTATAGCAAATTATAACATCTGTGCTGCAACTATGGTTAGTGTTTTTGTTTTGATTTGGTTTTTGTTGTGTTTTGGGAGAGATGCAGCATCTTGTTTTGTTAGTCTTCATGTCAGAAAGCATAAACCAAGAAGGCAGTATGGGGTGAACACTATGCATGATAGTGTAATTATGTTATGTTTATCTGTCTAATCCACATCTCTTCAGGTATCTGTTTCTGCTTCAGAAACTAGTCCAGTGGGATTTAAAGAAAGACACAAAACATTCCTCTTCATTCTGAAGTCTAAGCTTAAAGCCATGGAACCAAATGAAAATGTAGCAGGAGTTTTGGAGACTGGCATCATAGATAATCCTACTGTGTCCAGAACCAGGGAGCTGTTCTCTTTCTTGGCACTGATTAATGCGTACGTTCCTGAGTTTCACCTCCCGATGCAACAGTGTCAACAAATCCTTAGACCACCTGATCCAATCCATGGAGGACCCCCATTTGAAGAACGAATGAAGCCTTTTATCTCCTTCATTAATAATGTGTTTCAATGGACCAGGAGATAGCACGGGAAGCTGTGGAGAAACTCAATGACTTTGGGTTTAACTGAAGTAAAACTGTGAATAAATTAATGGATTCAGTTTGTGTTGCTCAAACTGAACCATGTGTAATACAATT